TCCCTGACAGCCCCTCCAGGGGCGCAGGTACCATGAGCGTGGCCCGAGCCCAGGAGCAGGTCCCTCTGGGAGGGGAGGTAAACATTCTAGCTGCGTCATCGCCAACACCCGTTTATAGATGTGGGGTTTCTCCATGTTCTGCCACTCAGACAGGGCTAGGGCCCCCATCCAGGAGGCCGGGGGCTCTGGGAAGAGACTTAGTAGCTGTGTGACCCTGCCTGAGAAGGGTGGATGCCTGCGTGCCAGCATCCGTGAAATGGGGTGACAGTAGCACCCACCTTGCTGCGCTGCTGTGAGGATAAAAGGAGCTAATACAAGTGCATCGCTTAGTGTGGTACCCAGCACTGAGGACCAGTGATGCGCTGTTAGCTGTCTGTCACCTGCAGGGCTCCGTGAGGAGCACTCTGGCAGCAAGACTCACTGACTGCCTACCCTGTGTTAGGTGCTGTGTGAGCACTGGGGACAACAGAGTACTCAGACATGGGCCCTGTCCCCAGGGAGCCCAGAGGCCTGTCATGGAAATGACCAGAGGGTCCCTGCTATGAAGGAGCTTAGGGAGTCCAAAGACCTGGGGCTGTTCCTCTTCACTGGACAGGTGACCCATTTGGTCTCTAAGACTCAGTTTCCTTAAAGGTATGGGGACAATAATGCCTGCTTCCCCTATGTCCCCAGGACTTGTGACGAGCACAGGAGTGTGGGAGTCGGGGACATGCACATGCACAAAGGTTGTGCATTTACAGCGGGCTCTGAAGTCAGGAGCTTGAGTCTGAGTCCCAGCTCTGCCGCTTACTGGCTCTGGGGCCTCGGACAAACTGCTTTTGTTTCTGGCCCTCACTTTTCCCATTTGTTTAATGGGGGTGACAGAAGTACCTGTTTCTAGTTCTGAGAATTAACTGCAATAAAGAATGGAACATGCCTAGCACATCGCCTGGCACTTGGCGTGTGCTTCACAAATGGGAGCCTGTAATAGGGGTCAGCTGGGGCCCTTCTCCTGTGGCATTCTAGGGTCCAGTCCCAATGAGCCTGCTGCCTCTCGATAGCCCTAGAGCAGCCCCCAGACGAGCGCCCCTCGGTCACCATGCTCAGCACAGCAGAGGTGTCGGGCCACTGAGTGGCGGCCTCTCGCTCCTTCCACAAAGAGTGTGGGATCCAAGGAAGGAAATGTTCCCTCTTGCGTGACCCCTGAACTCAGAGAGGCTGGTCACCCTCGTGTGACTGGAGCAGGAGGTGGGTTTGGAGGCGGAGGAGTCAGGGGAGGACAGGGCAGGGCGGCCGCGGGAGTGACGTGGGGCGGCCCTGTCTGTGCCAGGGGTCCTGGAGGAAGCAGAGTTCTACAACATCGGCCCGCTGATCCGCATCATCAAAGACCGGATGGAGGAGAAGGACTACACTGTCACCCAGGTCAGGGAGCAGGGGAGCAGCAGGGCAGCACCTATGGCCGGAGCAGGGCGTGGCGGGGAGAGGGGGAGGCGGGAGAAAGGTTGGGAGAGGCGGAAAGGCATTTTCAACCGGTGGGGTGGGGGGTAGGGGAGGCGCTGAGTTACCCTGTAAGGGGCGGGTGGTTGTCCAGCACCCTGACTGCCCAGCAAAGCCCCAGACTGGCAGATGGACACTGGTTCTGTCCCTGCCCTGAATCTGTTCGCTGTGTGACCTCAGGCCAAGCACGCCCCTCTCTGGGTCTCAAGTTCCCCTTGTGGAATGCAGAGGCGCCAAGAAGTGCCCACCCTTCCCTTCCCCACAGGCAACATGGGGTCAGTGTGGAGGTGCAGGGGGCAATGCAGGATTGGTAAATTGTCCCTTTCATGGGGTTACGTGGTCCCCTGGTGGGCGCAGCACAAGCTTGGACCCTGGGCCCCAGCGACCAGTCTGTAGGAGGAGCTGGAGAGATTCTCAGCCCTCCCTGGGGGAGACGAGGGGTGGGGGGGTGGGGGACAGGTAGTGAGGTACCATCTCCCAGCCCCAGGTTGAAGCGGGGACACTACGTCTCCTGGAGGGCCCGCCTCATTAGTGACCCAGAATGTCCCCCAAACCCTTCCTTTCCCTCTTGGATCATCTGTGCTCCAATTCTGGCTCTGCCCCTCTTTAGCTGGGTGACCTTGGTCAAGTCACTGACCCTCTCTGAGCCTCCACGAAAATCCCACACCTCATAGAATGTCTGGAAGGAGTGAGATCGTGAAGGTTGCGTGCCCGGCACGTGGTCGGCACTCAGAACATGGCTCTCGTCTTCCCGCCCTGCCTGCGCCCCTCCTTCTCTCCTCCTCGGGGTATATGGTGAAGGGGGAGAGAAGAGGCTGGTGGGAGGCAGGTGCTCAGCTTCCTCCTGGGCGGCCGCCGTTCCCACCGGTGCCCTCCACGGTGCCCCTCTGCCTGCAGGTCCCCCCCAAGCACGTGTACCGCGTGCTGCAGTGCCAGGAGGAAGAGCTCACGCAGATGGTCTCCACCATGTCTGACGGCTGGCGCTTTGAGCAGGTAAGCGGGGACCTCCCAGCCTCTGGGCAAAGCAGGCCCCTCCCTCCCTACAGCCCCAGCCTCGCGTGTCCCGCTGCCCGTGCCGCCTCCACACAGGAGGCCTTCTTAGGTCAAACCAAACACGATTAGGAAAGGCCGCACTGGCAGCAGACTGGCCGAGCTGGAGCGAGGACGGAAGCCCCGTGTGCTGCAGGGCAGCTCTGGGCGTCCTCCTCAGTGGGAGCCCTCACAGCATCTCGGTCGTGGTCTACACTGTAGTATGAACGAGTCTCTGGCCCCTGAGTGACAGCTCAGGCGCAGGTAGTCGAGATCCGCATAGGTGAGTGAGTGGAGTCCACCTCGGGTCAGTGCCTCCTACAATAATTCCGTAGGCCCAGCTTCCAGGGTCCCCACAAGGGACATGCCCAGGTATGGGCATTGCCACATTAGAGGACGCCCAAAGCAGCGACTTCCCCTGAGGAATTTAGAGTGACCTCGGTTCCTCCCAGTCCGGGTGCAGTTCCCCGCTCAGGAGGAGTGTTTGTCGTAAGCGGTATCGCCTCAGTGGCACAGCTGACGTCCCACCTGACAGGTTTCCGGGGGAAAGGGGCCAGTGAGTTACCCCCAAGTCAGAGTTCCCCCTAGAGAAGGAGGCGGCTTTGGCTAGCCCTCTCTCCACTCCCACCCGCGCTCCCTCGCACGTGGAGGTCGAAGAAGGGAGGACACCGGTCTCCCTAGGAAGGCCGGGCGGGTGGAGGAAGGAGCCCCGACCAGGAGCCAGAGACCTGACTCCCATCTGGGCCTCACCAGGGACGTGCCGTGTGACTTCTCTTTGGGCCTGTTTTCTAGTCTGTGATGCAGGACTGTCGCCAAGCTAGAAGGACCACTGATAAAGTTCCTAGCCCAGGGCAGGACTCTGGACATTGGAACGAGCTGGCATCATGCAGATAATTAGCAGTATTTAAGTCCGTAGGACCCCAGAGAGGCCTCGGAGTCCCGGATTCTAACTCCTGTTCCATTCTTCCTGGTTGTGGGACTTCCGGCAGGTCACCACCTCTCCAGGCCTCATTTGCCATAGTGGCTGATGTTTTTATCTGCCTGCTGGGTGAGGGCCCCTGAGGGCTGAGTGAGACCTGTCATATCAGCCAGAGGGGCCCTGTGGGTGTGGTTATTCTAAGGACTTCAGGACAAAGGTAGGGCTGGCTGTGAGAGCACTTCATGGGTTCTCAGAGGGTGAGCCAGCAGGTCAGGTGCCACTGGTCATTTGCCTGTGGCCTGAGGAGTGGGTGACCTGCCTACGTCTGCTTCCAGGAGTGAACTGAATGTTTTTGGGGGGCTCCGTCATGTCAGCCTGGTTCAGCCAGGGCTGCTTCGGCCACATTTGGGACAGAAGGCGACAGGCTGCCCATTCCAGGCCTCCTGCTTTTAGGAAGCGGCCTCTGGGTCTGGGCTGTGGGTGGGGGTGGCAAGAGGAGCAGCAGTGACCCTGGCGCCTTCCTGCGGGGACCGGGCCCAGCCAGGCCAGGCGGGGGGGCTGCTCGGGGAATCCTACCAGGGGCGCAGGGGTGGGAGGGGGAGAAGCCTGACTTTCGACCCAGAGGTGTCCCCTGGAAACCCAGAGGTGAGCCGGAGCAGAACAGCCAGATCGGGACAAGTGGATATCCTGACAAGTGCCGATGTCCACCTCCTCCCTCCCCACTGCCCGCCCCCCCACACCCGGACCTGTCCTCTCTCCCCGTGTGCCGCCCCTCCAGCTGGTGAACATCGGCTCCTCCTACAACTACGGCAGCGAGGACCAGGCAGAGTTCCTGTGCGTGGTGTCCAAGGAGCTCCACAGCTCCCCGCATGGGCTGAGCTCCGAGTCCAGCCGCAAAACCAAGGTGAGCCCCCCGACTCAGCTGCCCGCTTGTCCTCCCTCCCCGCCGCCCAGCCATCCCTGCTTCGTCTTTCTCCCTCCTGCTGCGCATGCGTAACTCCTGGTCACAGCCAACGCCATCCATCCCATGCCACCCATGGTCCTGTGTGCTCACGCCGGTTACCCAGGTCCAGGCTGGGGGAGCAGTGAGATGGGACCATCCCGAGGGCATGGCGAGAGGGACTTAGATGCCATTTGAATGGTGGTCACAACACGGAGCAGCACGGCACAAGGGGAGGGCCCTGGATTAGGGGTCTGGGCCACACTCGGTGTGACCTTGGACAAATCCCGTCCCCTTGGGAATTTCGTTCTCTATGAGAAGTGAGCGGGGTGGACCACGTCCTTTCTGGTGCTGTCAACCCCGGAATTCCTGGGATCCGAAGGGCCGGTTTTTCCCCGAGGCCGATAAATGGCCCCAGCAGGCCTGGGCCGGGGCGGGGAAGCCGGATCTGTTCATCCTGCCCCTTTCCCAGGCCTCCTCCTCTGGTGCTCTGCGGGAGAGGGGTCAGGAGCCCTGTGGGGTCCAGCTCCGTGTCTCCACGCTGGCCTTTGAGGCAGCATCAGCTGGCTGTGGGGAGGGGGCTGAGAGGAGGTCCTGCCGCCTGGACGCACAGCTGTTCAGAAGCCTTAAGGGCATTCGGTAGGGCCAGTGGGACAGGCCGCAAGCCAGGCCGGGAAGGGCGACCGTCCCTCTGGGGCCTGTCCCTGTGCACTGGAGACATGGGAACTCCGGCTTCCAGTCCGTCCGCCCGCCTCCCTGTCCTTCGACTTCCTCTGCCCACACACCCCCATCAGGGCCAGTGACCGGCACTGCCTTGCAAGGGTGGAGAGTGAGCCTGCTGCTTCTGCCCCTCTGGACCAAAGCCTCGGGACCTGGGTGCCAGAGCCTGTTGGCCTCCCAGACCTGGGTGGTGTCTTTCCTGAACCTCTCTGGCCTTATTTCGACTCTCGTCAGCCCTCTTGAAATGAGGCCTTCCCAGGCGCCTCTCAGGGGACCCCAGCCACACGCCCACCCCGATCCTCTTTCACTCCTCACCCAGGCTGCTTCATACAACAGCAGCCAGGCTGACCAGAGAGCACCCAGCGAGGCCCATCCTGCTGGTTTCTCCAGCCCCTTCCCCGGCTTCCCAGGAGACTGGACAAGGTGCCCCAGCTTCTCTGGCTGTAGCCCCCCCCCTCCCGGAGGTCCCCCTTCATCTAGCCCACCCGCC